TCAGCGGGAGGGGGGAATGGGGAGGAGGAAGGGGATGGGGAAGGGAAGGGGGAAGGGGAAGGGGAGGAGGGGATGGAAGGGGGAGGGGGAGGGAGGGGATGAAAGGGGGAAAGGGGGGAAAGGAAAAGGAAAGGAAAGGAAAAAGGAAAGGAAAGGAAAGAAAGGAAAGGGAAGGGAAAGAAAGGAAGGAAGGAAAAGGAAAAGGAAAGGAAAGAAAGGGAAAAGAAAGGAAGGAAGGGAAAGAAAAAGAAGAAAGAAGGGAGGGAAGGGGGATGGGAGGGAAAGAGGGAAGAAAGGGAAAGGAGGGAATGGAAGGTATAAGGAAGAGCAAGGGGAGAGAAAGGGAGGGAAAGGCCGCGAATGGGAGGGAAAGGAGGAGGGAAGGAAGTATTAATGACCGCCACTCCAGTCTGCAGCGCCGCGAGGGCCTTCCGACCTCATCCGGGCACTCGACGCCACAGGAAAGTCAGGGGAAGCGGAGGGGATACGAACGCCTCATATTTCGACCCTTCCTTCGCCGCTCCCTCCTCCTGATAAGTTCCGAGAACCAGTCAGCTGAGAAGGTTAAGTATGAATTAAATGAAAATAAGATTAGCGACACGGCCTGCCCTTTCAAGATGGCGGCGACCGGTTTCACGGAAAGAGGATTATGGCGGCCGCTGCGGAGTGTCTGCTTGAGCGGAGAAGTCGGCTTTCGTCCCTTCCCGCGGCACGCTGTGTCTATTTGCCTCGCCTGCTGGCTACTCGCTCATCAATTACCACAGTTCGTTCGCTTAATAAATTCTCGTCGGCGGGGCGCAGCGACGGCTCGTATAATAGAGAGGGCGTTGCTCTTCGTCATGGTCTCCCCTCCCCCCCCCCTCCCCTCCTCCTCTAATGTTGTTAAACGTCGAAGGAAAAGAAAGGTTATGTTATAATGTACGGGTTAATGGTATTTTTAGGAGGCCACGTGTGTGGTATTTAGTTACGCCGCCGTCATTCTCACCTCAGGATTATTCCGAGAAGGTGGCAACAGCATTACCAAGAGCGGGTCTCTTGTCGGGATCTCCAGAACTTCGAAGATTTTATTTCCTTCTGATTTTTCTTCGGTATCAAATGGAAGGCTGAAGTTTCCCGAGACCAGTGCTGATGTGCTGACCTGCGGGTACGAGGCTGCGAGATATTTCAGCATTAACTGATAAGCTGAGGCTCTACGCTGACATTGGTAACCCTTTGGGGACCTGGGCGTCACATTGTTCCGTTGGACCAACAATGCCCCGCGCTTGGCAGACATTAGCATTTGATACTCTGACACGGCGCAGCCTCCGCTTGCACTTTTTATTCATTGTGCCTTATTTAGCCCTCATCAGGCAACATTTAAGATTTCCGAGAACCTATTCCCCTTGTGATCTTACCACGAACGGCGCCCCATCTACGGGAGAGGCGAAAGACGACCTGCAAACGGGGTCCGACCGACCAGCAGCGCGCCATTGTGGCAGTCGACTGTGTGCGTCCCGTAATCCCTTTGTTGCCTTATCTTGTTTCCTGCCTCGACAATGACCGTATTTTCAGGGAATTTAGTCGCCGTCCATGTGCACAGATCCAGGAATATGACGCCCTTTTTGCTTTTACGTGATATTTTCCGCTTCTCCGGCCTCCATTGTACTGACACAGGTTCTTTGTTTAGATCGTTGGGCAAGGGGCGTTCGCTCATCCAGAAGGCGGGAGCGGGGACGAAGACCCACCTTTGGGCTCGTAGTCCTGAGCGGGTCTTCCATCCCTCTCCTTTGGCTCTTGGTCACGCGGAAATCTCCCGAATCTCTCGTCCATTGGCTCTACAGTCTTAGCCAGACCTCCGAGGCTCCTCTCAGCTCTTCATCATTCGCAGAGTTCATCCGGTTATCCATTCTTTTTCTTTCCTTGGTTGTTTGTCTTGCACAGACCCTGCGTGCCTCTCTCTTGTTTATCCATGTCCACGCACACTGCTTTGGATTTGCGATATGGAAATTCGGGAAAATAGTGTTATCCATGCAGAACTTCCGGTGTAAATGTGAGAAGATTACTGGTTTGAAATTCTATCCGTGTCGACTTTTTTTTGTGTGGTTCTTCATTTCATTGAAAGGGAATTATCTGTTTATTAAATAGTAACTTCTTATATGCTGTTGATGATATTTCATACAGTAGACAAAAAGATATTTAGACATGTATTCCCATATGTAACGTCTGTGGACAAATGGCCCTTCATAGAATCTTTTCGGTGATTGGCTGTTGGAATACAAAGGGGCGGAGCTTTCATTGTTAGTGTCTGGTAATTGGCTATTCGTGGAACCCTTCAATGTGATTGGTCATAATGGGTAGTAAGGCGGAACATTTGACTGATTTCGCAGAACGGAGGCAGGGTAAAAAAAAAATTAACGAGATTGATCTTCAGGCATGTTTTTATATATTATTATTTCGAATGTGTTATTTGATAAAAAAGAAGGAGCAAGAAATCAGCAAAGAAGATTAGAAGATTTAGAAACATGAAATAAGAAATCCTCACATTTTTTTTCATAGGCTTCTACATGACTGTGTCGAGTTTACGAGGAGTTAAGTAGAAAAGTGTATTTAGTCATGCAATCCCTGAACGACACTGTTATGCAACACCACATATGGTATCCCTCTCAGGTTGCCTTCTGCAATTTCACTATCTTCGTTCATTCGTGGTCATGCGTCTTACTCAGGGCGGTGGTATGCAATACATTTTGTTCACTGTACATGCGTGTCCTGCAGAAGGGCGAGTGAATAGAACCGACCCCCTTCCTGTACAGCGGCCTCATTAATCTCCTCTCCGACGTGTACTCATAACCGGTGATAATGGACAGCATAGTGCACATCATCCGCGCCTGATAACATCGTCCCAAGTTTGTGTCTTCCTTTTAGCCGCGGAATTCAAACTCTTGAAGCGATTTTTTCTCTCTCTCTCTCTCTTCCCTTTTTTTTCTCTCTCGTTTTTATGCGGACCATCCATCTAAATTTCGCGCTGTTCATTCTCATTACCACGCCTGTCGGTCGTTCTGCGAAATATGACGACCCCGCCAACTCCTTCAAGGGGTGGAGGGCGGCCCGCGTTCCCTCCCTTCGCCTCCGCCTCCGTGTGGGTCTGTGGCGGGCGGGACGGGGGCTCAACGCTGTGTTTATTCTGGCTTGGAGGGGGCGTGAGGGAAGCAAGGGGTTGGAGGAATCCCGTGTGCCTTCTCCTCGCGTTTTTTATGCTTTTTTTTTTTTTTGGAGGGTTTCTTTGTGTTGTGTGTGTTGTGCGTGCGTGTGTGTGTGTGTGTGTGTGTGTGTGTGTGTGTGTGTGTGTGTGTGTGTGTGTGTGTGTGTGTGTGTGTGTTTCAAAGGACGTATTTAGAGATGGAGATGAGAAGATTTTTCTTCTTGTGAAGGATTGTTCGATTTTTCTTCAACCGGGAAAGCATTTCGATTTTCCGGACCGTTTTACATTTTCCGAACGATGTGCTTTTTGACTTGTTAACCGACCACAACGTCTTCGGACTCTTTCTTGCCAGCTGAGAGATAATCACGTGATCCATCTCTCACACTCGATTGAACAAAGGAACGTTAACATGCGGAGTTCGCTGTTCAAGAGTTTGTTCCAAAGGGAAGGGGGAATGGCGCGAAGAAAGGAGCCAAGGCCGAATGACTTAGCCTTAATTCCTTCGCCACGACATGCTGGTCCTTACCGGAAACTTTCCAAAATGGCGGACGCGGAGAACGTGGGGATGCGCTTCCAAAAGGGTTCTTGGGTGTGTGTGTGCGTGCGTGCGTGTTCTTATGTACATGTGTACGTATAGTGTTAATATGTATATATGATATTTGCATATACATACATATACATACATATATACACACACGCACACACACACACAATATATATATATATATATATATATATATATATATATATATATATATGTGTGTGTGTGTGTGTATGTGTGTGTGTGTGAGCGTGCACTCATAGATACAATTATTTGCCTATGAAACGGACAGTTATCTGTGGGAGCTTCTCTTTTTCACATGGTTGCATGATGTGGCATTGCGAAATGTATTTTTTTAAGGCTTCAGCCCCTGGCCCGAGAGGCTGCGGAGGAGGGCGGCGCTGGGCGGCGCTGGGCGGCGAGGGCGTCGCCGCAGGTGTTCGTTTTCCATGAAGGATGACGGCGTGAAGCGGCGCTGATAAAGCCGTCAGGGCGACATCATGGACACGGACAAAAGAAACCTCAGGTGCTGTGCGTGTCCAAAGCCTCCGCTCCCCGCTTTGTTCTTGGGCTGTGGGCGGCAGCGGGCATCCTGTCTAAATCGTATTTCTGGGAGCTTCTGCCTCCCACCGCGAAGGAGATGGCGGCCGTTTTGTTTGTTGAATCCCCGGGCCATTCGGCTCCCGACGCGCACCGCCAGCCGCCTTTGTCTCGAACTGCTTCTTTCGTCGCGTTCTCCTCCCGCCGCGACCGTTGAGATCACCGGCCGGCGCCGCCATCAGGGAGGCTCCTCGGGGAGAGCTGGAGCCCCTGGCCGGCCTGACGTGACGGGCGTTTGTGGCCGTTCAATTCCGAGAGAGAGGCTGAGGGCCCGAGGTTTCCCCTTTCGCTCCGGGCGGTTCTTCGAATGGGTTCTTTGAACGGCGCTCCTGAGGGGAATATTAGCGGGGTTTCCTCTCGCGGGATGGGGGCACAATGGACTTCATTCAGAGGCTGCACATTCACTCGGCATTTATCTTGATTGCGTTCGTATCTGTAGTAAAAAGAGTTTTGTTTTGCCCTTGTTTGTACTTAGAATTGTAAATCATAGGTAGATTTTCACGTTTTGGGTCCCAGCGAGAACTTTTGTGGCTACATTGGTTCCAAGAAGAGGCGTCTGGCGGGTATCGTTTACCGCATTAATCACGCCACCCTTATTTAGCGTTGCGTTTTTAATTAACCACACGTTTCCATTTTTTCCAAACAAAGGAATGTGTTAACCAGTTCTGTTCTTCTCCTCAGGCATCATGCCGTGGTGGCTCATCCTCATCATCGCCGTCGTCTGCATCATCGCCACGGTCTTCCTCGTCGCCATCGGCTCCTTTGGACAGAAGTAAGTGTGAATGAAAACTTCCTCGCCAGCCCACCCCAAGCGTGGAGGTGAGTGGGGCTGAGGGGCCGCGTGTCGAGCTCGGGGGCGGTCCGGAACAGCTGGCTCGAACCCCGTCGCCAGATATATGTGTCAACAGAACATGTGATGCGGCCGAGGCGTTTCCGAGAAGCGCGTGGGGGGAATTAAAGAGTTTCTCACGAGATCCTTGTAGATGTTTTGGTTGATGATAATGGTTTTCGTTCTGGGGCTCATTGCCAGGTACTTCTGGATCGCGTGGAGTGGGCGACCCGCACGCAACTCCGAGACTCGTTATTCACTTAAGAACGGTGTCATTCGGCTTCATCGAGTGATTAGATGATGTCAAATCTAGTTTTAGGAGACGTGTCATTTTGGAAGACGTGTGTAGGGTTTAAGACTGAGATAAATGAAGAAAACACACACGAGGGAAGGGATGATGAATAGAGAAGAGAGCGAGAGGCAACAAGTCGTATACTTTGTTTGAATGTATGAGTTTGCAGAAGAAAAATATTTATCTTAAGAATGGTTACAAGGAATGGCATGTGTGTATGATGCCCTTGCGTGTGTGTGTTTGTATTGCATAAATTCTTCAGGGTTTTTGGAATTGCGTTTGATATATGTTCGTGTGTATATATATATACTGATATGGATATAGATATAGACAGATTTATGTTTATATTTTTCTATTTCATTCAACAGGAAAGTCAAGGTGTTCTTGTTTGAGTGGAACCGCGAGCTGGATCTCCCAACGGGTCTCGTAAGTTTGGCTCTTGTTTTGTGAAAAAATGAGATATTCCTTTTTTTTTTTTTTTTTTTGTATCATAAGATGTTCATTCACATTGCCCGTTGGGGAATATTGTACTTTGTTATTAGGCCTAATCATCCATGACCACACCATACCACACCACACAACACCACACACCATACCATACCACACCATACCACATCACACCACACCTTACCATACCACACCACACCTTGCCATACCACACCACACCATCCACACACACCACCTTACCATACCACATCACACCACACCTTACCATACCACATCACACCACACCTTACCACATTTACCATACCACACCACATTACATCACATCACACCGCACGACCACGTCACTCCCTCCCCCACCCCCACCCTCTCTTATCATGTAATCCATCATCCCTAACTTTCATAAAAACACATTTAACCCCCCCCCCCCCACTTCCTAACAGCCTCCCCTCCCCCATTTTATCCCTGACCTCATACCACTCATTCCACACTCATTCCACGCCACCCATCTCACGCCCATCCACGCGCCCACCCATCTCCCACGATCCCGGCCCACCCGACTCTTTCAGGGACCTAGCCTGCCCGCCCACGATGACCTCCACTCCAACTACAAGATCGTGCAGAACCAGGTCATCGACGACTGGGGCGGAGCTGACACCAGGATCCCGGTGAAGACTGCCACGCCCTTCTCCAACCCTGAGGAACAGGAGGTGGGTATTGGGTGGGGTTGGGGCGGGGGGGTCGTGAGAAGATTTTGCCGGTTTAGGGATATTTGTAGATCGATGGATAGTTAGGAGATAATAGGATAGATAGAGGATATAGTATAGATAGATATGTAGTAGATAGATAGATAGTTGGACATAGTAGATAGATAGATAGATAGCAGATAGACATAGGTAGATTGGTAGATAGATGGGGATAGTAGATAGAGAGATACATACATACATACATACATACATATACATATACATACATACATACATACATACATACATACATACACATAGATATTAAGCAATAGAAGATAGATAGATGTCCTAGTTGAGGACAGACTGACCATCTAGGGAATACCTCAAGCTTTTTGGCAGCAAAGTAGTGAATGCCATTGAAAGGCAAATTTTGGCGTGGCTGATAACTTAGACCCTACACATTTTTTTTTTTTTTTTTATGCGTGGTGGAAGTGCAGTGCAGCTGGATGTAAACGGCAGAGGTATTCCTAGTTGTTTGGGGGAACTGCAAACAAAGAACAAGTAGGGTCTGTTTTGTTCATATCTTTCTCTTGACCTCCTTTCTCTCTCACTGAACGTATGTATGTATGTGTATACTTGCATTCATATATATGTGCATATGTATATTGTTTACCTATACACATGCATATACATATACATATGTATATGCATGTATATGTATGTTTATATATATGTATACATATATATGTTATGCATGTATTTGTATACATCTATATATAACTATATGTGTATGCATACACATTTATTGCATATAGATACATACATTTCATCATTCATTCTTACATTTATACAAATATACAAACAACATACATACATGCATACATACATGCAGGCAAATGATATGCACACATGTACATATGCATGCATGCATATATGGATATATGCATACATAGTGTACATATAAACATGTATGTGTATCTGTATTCACTTATGTGTGCATGTATGTACATAAAGACACACATTCATAAATACAAGCTTACATTAAGAAATCCATAAATTCATACATATATAAACACAGTTACATATGCGCTATGCATATACACTATATCTGTCTACTTCACTGTATTTTTTGGGGGAGTAAATATCATGCAGTATACAGTAAAAACTGGAATGAAGGAGTTTTACCATGATACTCTTGTATTTTCAGTATTACACAGTAATAGTATGTTATACAGTAATACATGAAATAGTGATCAAAACAGATATTTGGTCCACAATGTATACCTAGTAAACTAACACTATATATTCATCTTTATACCCATGGCAGACCTACCTTGTAAGTGTTCAGACGTACTCTTATTTAAGCTTGTTCATTTTGCTTAAGTTGGTTAAGAGGTTTACTGAGTCGAGGAAAAGACCAGCTGTCCAGTAACTTCACACCATAACACTCGGGCAAAATAAACATGCTTAAAGGCTTAGCATGAAAGAAAAGCATACATACACATAACCACACATGCTGGTGCTCATGTTCCTTAATCTAAGTTGCACATAAGTGTAAGACCTTTCCTAATTACCTTTGGATAAACACACACACACACACACACACACACACACACACACACACACACACACACACACACACACACACACACCACACACACACACACACACACACACACACACACACACACACATATCACAAATATATATAAACTTACAAATATGTATATGTATACAACCACACAGCAAAGCACAGGCATGTTAGTTTAAAGACTACATTTTAATTAAGAAAGTAAATGCATAAAATCACATCCTCTATGCTTATATTGAATTATCAAAGTACAACTAATATATATGTAAGCATATCAGTACATCGCAATTTCTATGTAAGTGTGTAGGTAGTTATATACATTACAAATACTCTCTTTCATACAAAACAATAATTAAAAAAGCAACTGGGAGTAAGAGGTAATTTACGTATGTTTGATACATAAAGATTTGGCGGTGATTCAAAATCACAAAGCTGGAGACAAATATGGGATTAACACAATGGATCAGTGAGACCAATAGATTTTACAAGAAGATTTATGTCACAGGTCAGTTTTGTAACACATTGATGAAATATATATGTTGATAACACAGTACTTGGCAATGAAGAATTATCACGGATAATTCTCCAAAGATGGATGTTGTGGAATCCGTGCTTTCAAGATTTTCCTTGAACAGATTGAAGAAAAAGCAGATGAACACAGTTCATTTAATAGATACCACAGCAGATGTATCCATCGTTCAAGAAGAAATTGCTTGAATAATCCTTGTAAAAAAAAATTATATTCCTAATGGCGCAGTATTGACATATCATACTGGAGAAAGATTCCAGTCATAGGATCTGCAAAAAGTAACAGTAAAGTATGTGGAGGAATTAGCAGAAAATCTAGTGCGTGCTGTTGTGCAGAATAATAGGAGGTATAAATGCAGTTTGAAAGCATTTCCCTGAAGAACCTGGTAGAGTGAAAATACCAAGGCTGTGCTGATATTAAAATCTGAGACAGATTCCATATACATTGAGAGCAGATGTAAACCAGGCAATCCAGAGGCTAGAAGCAGAAGAGATATGGGAGAAGGTAACACATTTTCAGACTCGGGTACATTTTTACTACCAGTAACCAAGAAAGATGGGGAATGTGGTTCTTAGTGGGAATAACCCATGCTACAAGTCAGTATTGTCACACATTTGTGAATTACATGCAATGAACAAATAGGATATTAGTGTCCTAGTTTAATAACTACATATTGATTAGCAAGGTTGATATATTAGAACATAATATTAGTGTCAGGCTATCAGGTAATAACCTCTGATCTCAAAAAAGCTTGACTGACGCCTCTTTCTAATTGTGCGAGTTGATTCCAGTCATTCTACAGCACTGAAAAATGAACAACCAGGATGATATACTTTATCTCTCCCACTGTATTTGCCTTCTTAAAGATTTAAAGAAAGAAATAGAGAAAAAAGATCCTTGTACATATATACTGATTTGTTCTTTGCATATCTTGTATGTAGAGATTTTTGAAAATTTACCTATGCAATATTAACCTGTTTTAAATGTTGCCATTTTCTAGATAAGATAAGAGGCTATCTTTTTCATTTGATATCTATCTTTTTGCTTTTATTATTATGTAAGTAATTTTTTCTTTAGTTTGTAGATATGGTGTTTTATTTTTTTGAGTCTGCTTTTGACAGTAGTCTAAAATTGATTTTCTCTCTTCCAAAATAATGATACTTCTTTTATGCCCAGCAAATAAGCTTTGCTCTTGCTTTGTAATAAAAGCTGCATTTTCAGAGTGAAAAGATCCTAAGCTATATCTTATTTTAGAAATTTTAAAGAATTTATTAACATATTTTAAGGGTCAATATGGGATGCATGGAATCAAGTCTCAAATTGGTTTTCGTATTGCAAGACTCAACAATCAACTTTTAAAGGTAACATATTATTTGTCATATATGCTGTCCACCAAAGAGACTGTAAACAAGGAGTGCCCGTACCTTACCCTACTTTTTTTTTAGTATTATTATTTTTATTTTACCTAATATGTGAAAAAGTGCTGTACTGTGTTGAATGTGAAGAGGCTTTCTTTAAGACTTTAAATCCATTTCCAGCTGATACCAGACAAGGCCCGTCAGAGCCGCAATCCATCAGGGGATTCGGGCACCTCGGAGAATGATCAGGTTGACTCCTCAGGGTGTTCCACTGGCAGTGAATCGGACTCCTCCTCTGGCAGTCATCGTGTTCCCCAGTCTTCGGACTCAGGGACTGGAACGGTAAAAAGAGCATTTTTTACAATTTTCTTGATAAGATGAACTCCTAAAATCTATTTTTTCTTGATTGTATTTATGGACAATTATGTAATGTTTATCATATGAGCTACTTTAGATTCATGTTTCAAATGAATAACAGTAAAAGTTATGAGCTGAGAAAGAATATGTAAAGTGTTCAAGCTTTTATCTTACATTTTCAAGTATTTTTATTAATGTGATTCTTTTACCATAATGTAATGAGGATAAAATGTGGAAATTGTCATTTATAGGAGGTTGGCTTTCCACCCGAGTCCAAGAACTGGGAGTCAGGCTCTCTCAGGCTCCGAACCCCAGTTCCTCCATATGTCCGCCCTGGATTGCCCCAAAATGTAAGTCGGATTGGATATAGTACTGTAATGTAGCATTAACCTTGTGGTATGTCTTTCAGCGTGTACTGCCGCACACCTGCAGTAATGAATGAGTGTGGTTCTTTATTGTTACTTTGTATCTTAGGAACTGTCTTGATGTAATTTCTCTTTCTTTTTTTTTCAGATTACTAGTGCAGGATATGTGTCTGTGTCCTCAGTGCCAAATCTTCCTGTGGGGTCTATGGAAGATGGACTGTCTCTGCAGCAGTCCACTTCCAGCCTAGCCTTGGGAACACCATCTCACCAGCCTTTGGGAGCAAGGAGAGCCTCAACAGGTTACATTAGTATGCCTGACCAAGATGCAGAAGGGGTAAACCTCCCCCTAGAGATGTTAGGCAATGTCACCCTTCCGCATGACAGTCGGCCAGGAGGTTTTCCTGCTTACTCTAGACATAACTTCCCTCTTAAGAAGACACCCACATCTGAAATGTCACCCTACATGAAGACTGGATCTTTGCAACGACTCAATACTGGGTATGTTGCAGTTGCGCAGCCGGATGGAGGAGCAAGGGATGCTATGTCACAAGCTCATGGCTACTGTGGAGGTGAAGATCTTGGTGTCATGAAGAGGCAGTCATCCCTTTCAGCACTTCCACTTACATATAATAAATCTATAAGTACACCAGATGAAGATTTACCCCGTGGTACATATTGCCGTGTAGGTGCTAGGGGCTCACCTGGCCCACCCCCAGGTCCCTCCCCGGGGTATGTAAGTATCACGCAAGCCATGCCATCACATGCCATGTCTCATCCTGTCAACACAACTTCACCCACAAACAAATCTCCATATGTTACATTTGCCATGGCCAAGTCCATGCCTTCACCCACCAAGGAGCCTGAAAAAGCAGGTGGGGGCTATGTGTCTGTAGGGGACATGGCCGAGGGCCGTTGGGCCAATCCTGTGATGATGGCCCCAGAAGATTTTGAAGAGAGTCGAGAGGTGAGCTCAGCTCCGCTAGAAAGCACCCGGGGTCGACCGTTGTTATCCACGCGACCGAATACATCTGAGGCAACTATTGCTCATAATCGCGGGGCAAGAAGCTTCCCTCCTTTAGCGCCATCACTCTCTAAACAAAGCTCAGGCTATGTTTCTCAGGATTCATTGCCCTTCCATGATCCTGTAGTTATGTCTCCCAAGAGGCTGCTGACCCAGAGCAAAGAGCCATATTCAGTGATAATGCCACCAGACCATAAAGGAACTGCCGTGTGAGCATGTATCATTTCTAGTGAAGTTTTACTCCATTGTTGCATAAGAAATGTTTCAAGTCAGTCCACTGTTATTCAATATATTTGGCTTGAAGAACATATAGAAGTCATAAAATAATTCAGTTATGTGTAAGACTCTTCCTGAGGCAAAGTCCAAAGGCAAAGTTTCCCTTAATCTGAGAAACTTACTTAACAGACTTCCATAATACTGGATATCAAATGATATATGTAAAAGCACTTTATTGTGTGTTACCAAGTATTTATGAATGCAGTGGTTCACTCAATATTCTGGAGCATAAGATGATGAGAAGCAGCCAATATGTGCGTCTATTATTTTGTGTAGCATTGTTAATTGGGGGGGAGGATTTTAGTGCAAATCATGGTGGTGTTACTAATTCTTGATCCCTCAGTTACGTACGTGGTACACCTTTAGAAAGTACAAAGATATGATCCCGGTAGTGGTGTTTGCCCAGCAGTATGTGATGGTATTAGTTATGTTAAGTTGGTGTATATATGGATAGAGTTGTTAAAATAAAAAACAAAAAAAGAAAATATGTGGTTTTCACCATTAAGGTAAAAGAAGTCTTCAGAAGGCAAAAATAAACTATTCCAATCTATCTTGGGATGTGGTGGAGAAAGGAATCTCAAAAAAATACCAAAATAAACACCTGAAATTCAGATCTTTTACTGAAATTGTGTGTGAGAATTGAGTTTGTGTTTGTTTCATGAATTGCTAGGACTGTGATTTAACCCAGAAGTTTGCTGCTCACTTACTTTAATGCTGTTAAAACATGACATTCTGGAAATTAGTGGTGTAATTCAAATCAACAAGGATAAAGTGCGGTGGCAAGGTTTTGGATGGTTTACCAGCAATGTGTCTGATGTTACTATTGCTTGTTGCTATTCCCAGTGCAATACCCACCATAGGTCATGATGCCATGTTGAAGTTATTTTGAACCACGGGAATAGTGAAAGAGCTTCAGATGTTACCTCTATACAGCTTGATATTTTTATTTGTTTGGCAGAGAAAGCCATATAGATGCCACATCCCTTGACACATAGATGTTGATTTTGTACAAAAAGGACTGTTACAGAGAATTTACTTATTGATAGAATCTCAATACAAGCTTGCAGTTGGACTGACCTCCACACTGCTAAGGCTCTGAAACAAAACAGACCAGAAGGTTAAGGGGCTCTGCTACATGTTGGGAAAAGAATGATTGTTTTGAAGTTATTCAGTGCTGGCTATGTCTCTCCAGTTCTGTGCCAAGATATTGTTCATGTGGTGAGAGTTCCAGATACACACTTCCTAATGCTCAATACATCTCAGTTTCAATACTCAGTTTGCATATGTAAGGAGGATCTGGAGCCAGTTGCTTCTTTCAGATTGTGTAGCACTGTGTTTTAAAGGTAGTGGGTGAATGGGTGTGATGGCAACCTGTGGTATATAGGAGCACTTTTGCTTTTGCCAGACTTTGTGACAATTTTATTTCTGTTGATTATTTTAGTGATTATCTTTTTTTTTTCCTATAAATTTCCAGTAGACAGGTGGGCTAAAATATTGTTCCCATGCAAATATAAAGTGAACATTTGCATAGGAAAAATCCAAAAGATCAGCGGCTTTGCCACCTATATACTCCACACCATCTTGCTTTCCCCATTAACATTATGAAGAGAAGAGATACGGAGGATTGTTATTTTGTTCAAGTTGAAATCTTCCTATTTGCAACAAAAGCAAAAAACTGTTAAAATTACGTTATTAAATCTCAAGAATAAGAACTTCTTTTCCTAATCTGATGGAAAACCAAGGGGTGAGCAGTAGACTCAACTACGTACTCAAACACAGTGAGAGTGATCCTGTTGTGTTTTAGAATGTTTATTGCATGTATTATACTTGTTATCTGTTCATGTATGTTAACTTACCGCCCAATACTTATCACTTTGCCATTATTGTCCATGCACCATAAGAGCTTGTTTCTCACTGCACATCCATGAAATCAAAAACAGTGTCCAAACTGGCTACTGTATTCTTTGTGCTATAGTTAGACATACAGGTCTTACAAACAATTCTCATAACCAATCAGCGAATGTGACTTGGGAATTTACATTTAATGAAGAATGTAGATTCCACTACTCTGTGCTGATAGGGTCAGGCAAGCCGTACCATTGTAGAAGTTAACATACTGTGTATCTCTAAGATACAGCATTAATGTCTGCTCAAGTTTAAGTATCCCAGACACTTTAATAGGGAGGAATTTTATGGAAATGCATTTGATAAGATTGAGTGATATAACTATTTTGTTGATAATCTGTGAGACCGAGCGGTATTTGTTATTGAAAAGAGATTGAGTTGATTGAAATGAATTATAGAATACACAAGAAAGAAAAGTAATGCAAATAGTGATTATAATTACCATAATATATATTCATTTTTGATAAATACTGTATTATGATATGAAGGTGAGAGTTTATGATTATATAGGAAGTACTTTCAGATGCCCAGCAATACTATCCGAGAGTTAGAAACAAGGCAGAAACTTAAAATAAAGGGTAATCATTTTCTGTTTCATCTTGTGTGAGTTTCATCTTGAAGATTCATTTATATGCTGCTGGTCTCATTTTGCCTTAGAGTACTGTGGTCATGAAAGGTATAAGACATTTAAAATAGGGGATATTGCATGCATGTTCTGCTTATATATTCATTTCAGAGAGATATATTAATTTTTTATGAATGCCCATTGTCTTTTCCAGTTATGTGAAATATGCTCTGTCAGCAAACCAAAAGTACCTATTTGAAAATTTAGATATGTACGAAAAATTATATAGATTATATATACAGAGGAAGACTCTAGTGCTTCTTTGAGATTGGAAGTACGTAACACACATTAGATAAAATGAAGAGAGAAAAATTAGGTTTCATGGTTTATTATAATTACTTTTTTTTATCACGGTATTCATAGATGGGATTCTTATCTCAGAGACATTATAGAACAATCT